TCAAATGTCAAATGTACCACTGTAAAAAGTTAAATACTTGCTAATGGATGTAAACTCGTCAGCATATGGGAAAGAGTCGCTCCATTCATTAATTTTGCATGCTTGAATAAGCACGCAAAACGTAAATCTCAATTTTGGAAAGCACATCTCAAAAAATAATGTTCCAACCGCCTTAAATGACCAGCGGGAAAAAGCTTGCCCAAAAGTCGATAACTACGATAAAGAAAACGAGGGAATCGAAGCTTGTGAGGGACGCAAGGCATGGGTGCGCTAGGGGAGTGGATCCGCTGCTTATACAGCACCACACGGACTCATTGCCTCGTCTACTCTCAACTTATATCTGGATAAATTGTGCGGATCCGCAGACTCCTTCCTCATGTATCGCCAGCATATTTATTCCATCCCTCAGAGCTTTCACAGGGTAAACGATCCCGGACTTGATCAGGAATGACCGAGAGGCAAGTATCTTTGGTCCCTTTTTCCTTATCTGCTCGCCACTGTGCCCACTCTCAACGCCTTAATGTCCTCACTAAACCCCTTTCTGACGCTTTCCCCTAATTTGCGGGAGAACGACATGGAGAGGTTGTTCTTAAAACACCGTGCACGATCATGCGAAAAATACCACAATAAGTACCCGTTATTGGAGATTAAAGGCATGGGTGAGAACCAAAAGGAAATGGATTGCGCAGAAAACCAAGATGAAAATAAATCTGAAAATGTGACTCGGACATTCAAACGAGATGTCTATTCCAAATTCACCGTGTCGTTTCTCTTATCATGTCTTGTAAGCTCATGTTCGTTTGAGGTTTGTCATCCAGCAGAAATGGGAAAGCGGAAAGAGGTCTCTTCCAGCGAGAATCATGTGCGGCCAAAATGCATTGAAATGCATCAACTTTTGAGCTGAACAAATATTACCCTTTGAAGAGCACTTATATCGTATATGTCAAGCTGGAGAACGACAGGAAAAGACATCGACTAGAGCACAACTTTCTACTTTCCTATTAGCGTCAGAATGCATTGCCAACAACAAAAGAGGGAGTTGAACAAAGGGACGGGGCTCGTAGTCTGATTTTGATGGAAGAGACCGCCACCCTCTCTCCGTTTGTCGCTTCGAACTTTGAAGATTGTTAAGGATATGGTGCTTGGTTTCTTTTTGGAACTTTCATACTCTATACGTTTGATGTCTTTCTTAATATGTATATTATTTAATTGTTGATTGTTTGCCTGTGAAAAGAGATGTGGGTCGGGGTTTGAAACCCATCATGAGCAGATGCCTCTATGATCGCTGGACTGAGCATGAACATTCGGAGGACAAACATCGATTAGGGAGATAAAAGCAACGCCTTGAATGATTGTAGGCCGTGGAAGGAAGTGATTATAGGCTGTGCACGGTAAGTTATGAATATGCAAGATGTCGTCGGGGTTTTTGCCCTGATCACCGTTCGTAGGTAGCCGACAACTCAACAAAACCCTCGAACCCCAAAAAAAAGAATCTTCGAGGTGCAGACGCGAGGAGTGCTTGCATATGATTCAAATACACATTTCTAGCGTCTCAGGTGCTATGTCAATTCGTGGGACGGGCCGTGTTGGGTTGATTGAGGCCCACGAGTTTTACAGCCGAAACCTTTCTTTTCTACTCAAGGTGAATTTCGGGTTAATTATCTTCCGAGGATGATCGGGCTGCTAACCTCTCCCGCGGCTTTTGTCCTTCGAGAGTGACAAGTCGCCGTCCTCATTAGTATGGCCGAAGTCCCTCTAATGCTTGATGGCATACTACGAGAGCCATGTATATTTTTCATGTTATGTGTACCTTTTTTTGTAGCGTATTGACGAATTTGGCACGTGAATCACGAGTAGTTGGGATTCATGGCTCCCGAACGGGCGACCCCAGGACATTCCTTGACCTTGACATACAATACTCACGCACTGGCAGGACATTTAGGGCTACGGCATTTTTCATAACAAAATTGCCTGCTTGTCAGCTCTAGTGCGAAGAAATGCGACGGGACGACGATGACGCAGTAGCAGATCAAGACAAGTCTGATGAATCATATCAAGAAACAGGCCACGAGACTGAAGCGTTTGTAGAAACGCTCATGACAATGAGCTCGTCGTACGAGTCTGAATCAGAAAGCATTTCCCCGTCACCTATGCAGTCAAATGTCTCCTCAACCAGCCACATGCGAATGCAAGCTCCGCATTATCGTGAGCGTTCTTCAAGGCACCCTACACCATCCCTTTCACTAGCAGAACATGAGACCGCCGAGGGAGAGATGAAATCCCGAGGGTATAAAAAGGAGAATAGACGCTTGGAAAAGCAAGAGGACAGAGACAACACCACCGAAGTAGGACCAGCGATGGACAGGGAAGGCCACGACCAATTTCATTGCTCTGGAGCATGCGATATAGGCTTGTGTGAGTGCTACCAAAAGGCTCCACCTGACGCTTTAGAGAAAGAGTAAGTACAACCTATCCGCTCTAAGTGGAGAGAGAACTGAAGGATAAGCGTTGATGAGGAGCGACACTTAATCCTCACCTCACTCGTTACCACTCCTCCCTGTTCCTTCAGGGCCAGCACCTCTGAAAACCCTGCCGGATTTAATGTTCTCCCGCGCCTCTCCTTCACTGGACGCTCGTCCTTCGTTCCCCTCCTGTCCTCCCCATCGCTGGACCAAATCATGGAACTCATTGACATCCGAGCAATGGTTCCTCTGTACCTCCAGGCTTTCCGCGAGCTCCTACAAAAAGGAATGCTGAACCGAAAGAGGGGCATTATCCTTCTCAAATACTGGAGAGAAGTGAAAATCCAATTTGGGGGAAATTGTGACCCCACGCACGGGCTATTTGCAGAGGTAAGAACTTCATCTCCCTCCGAGTTCCGCGGAATTGAGTCGGTAGCCATCGCACTCCTATGAGTATTGCTGAGCTCAGTTTCGATGCCCGGGTTATTTTGAGAAGACTCCGCACAATTCCCGGAATTTACTGCCACAACTTTTTTTCCTCCCTCCCTCCCTCCTTCCCTACCTCCTATCTCCTTTCCTCCTTCCCTCCCTCCCGTCGCACAGGTCCAAGGAGCGTTTTGGATCGCCGACAAGGAGCTTGGGAGTCCTTCATCTATTCTCGATGGGGCAGTCTCTGATGCAGAAAGAAGGCGATTATGGATGAGTCATGCAAACCGCCTGGGGGGGGAGGGGGCGAAAAGTGAGTAAGCGGTCCAGTCAATCGCCCATGCTCCAGATTCCAAGATGTCCTCTCGTCTCTTTAGCTGGTTACAAAGCCGACCACATGCAGGAATCAATCCTGTGCATCATTGTTTCCCCCCCGCTTCATGTGTCTTTCCACCTTATGTCCCTCTATTTATCCTTCCAACCTTCATTCATTTGCCGCTCCTGCGTCTCTCTTCTGCCCGGATCCCGTTTCTCAGGACTGCGGGAGAGCGCAATTTTTAAACAACTCAACGACGGCTCTCGCGCCATTCGGATGGAATGCCTGGGAGGGAAGGAGCGGCGTTTGGTGGTGAACGACGTATATTTGACCTATTTTCGACGACCGGAGGAGTTCATGAAGGACGCATGGGCCCGGCGCTGTCTCATCGGCTTTTTGCTCGCGGCGTGAGTGCCGGGGGAAAGAGAAGGATGTAGGGAAGGGGCTGGGGACGTGCATGTATGGAATAGGAGGCGCTGAAATCCAGACAATGGTACGACCCACAGCTCCCCTCTCGGTCATTTTTCTCCTTTCTTTCTGCCAATAGCACCGTAGTCCCGGACGACCGCCCCTCTTTCTTCCGGGAGCTGGTCCAAGGGGCTCTCGGTAACCCTGGCACTCGCCAGACAGGGCTTTTTAAGGTCGGTGCCTGAGATCCCATCTCTGCCGCCTTTCTCTCCCTCTTGCCCGGCTTTTTCCGGCTTTTTGTCCGCCCATCTCCGGTCCATCCCTGTGTCCCTCCATTCCTCCTCACACAGGCCCTTGACCGGCACGCCCAGGTCAATCTCTTCCTGTTCGAAAATCGAGTGGTCGAGCTCTCACCTGGAGAATTTGTCTCCTTGATCATGTTTGAACCGGCGCCCCCCTCGCGTCACATTCCCCCCCAACACCCCGTTGCTCGGACACGGCCACTCCAGGAGCCCATCTGCTCGACACCCTCCCTTCCCAGCCGTGCCTCTCTTTTTCCCTCTCGTACAACGTCGGACCCTCCGTTTGAAGAGCAGGAGAGGGAGAGGCGCCACGCTGGTGGACGTGGTGGGGCAAGCCGTCCGACGGAGCAGGAGGAAGGCTTGGTGGCAGGAACAGGAGCCGCAGGACAAGACGAGGAACGTGCCGAAGAGGAAGGGAATCAGGCAAATGAATCCTTGTATGCGGCAGTATCCTTGACATCCCCTGTCTCTTCTCCCTCTTCGCTGCCGTCCGCTCCTTCCGTCCTTTCCTCTGAGCCCTCTTCTTCCTCTGATACCGCCCTTCACCCACACTTCTCCCTCCATGCTGCGGCACCTATTACCACCATCCCGCTACCCCTTCCTCAGCCTCCACACCACTTTGCCCAAGAAACCTCATCAGCACAAAGCCTCTTTGAACCCAATCTACGCCCTCTTGCTTCTCCCTCTGAGATTCCGCCCCTGCAATGGTCACCGATGCAGCGCGACCGACCGAAGAAGGAAGCAGCAAAAGATGAAGAACTTGGGTCTAGTTAAAAATTAGACGTGCCATTCATAGCATGACACATTCACTTGTGGTGAAAAAAATCACGAAGAGGAAAGCCAGCTGAAACAAGTGTTGCTGCCAAAATCCTTGCCAAGAAGAGAATGATGACACATAAAGCTACATACATTTGTCACATGAGCAGAACTAGTGTGGATGACATGCATGTACAAAACAAGTAATTGTAAAACTAGGAAAATCGAATGGCACGAGTGCTTATCATCTTTTGTTTATGCCTTTAAATTCTATAAAGCGTTGGTGTGGTAGAAATACAGACTTTTAACCTCCTCTCTGCCCTGTGAAAAGGATACCCTTCGACAAAATTGCTGTCATTATGCGGGTACGTATCTAGGGACACATTACGCTTCTGTATCGTCGAACGGATCAAAATGAATTCACGTGTGTCCAATCCGAAGGGGTACATGGGCCACGACTACCATATGCCTTCCAGTTTATCTTAGAATAGTCATGACGTGGCACCAGGTGCTACTGCCATGCGCTAGCATCCTCGCCCCCTTGTTGTGATATCGACGCAGAGCTGTGGAAATGTATGTAGGGTGAGACTGCAGGCAGTTTGTGGATTTTAATTCCTAGGAGTCTTGAAGACGAAGGTTACTTCCAGGAGGATCACGGTCATGGCGGTGCAAGGATCATGAAAAGCCTACAAACCCCAGGTTGCACTCCTTCAATTCCCTCAGCATAGCCTGGACTTGATCAACCAGTGGTGTTGTCAACTGATCTTGTATGTGGTTTGCTTGTATTGGTCGAGCGCGTTCGGATGACAAAGTCTCGAATGACCAGGATTCCTCGATCTTGATCCTCAGCTCGCACATTCATTGCACCAGCAAAGCAGTACCATGCGCTCAAACTCTGTTTACAAAATCGGCTTTTCCAAGATACCTTGATTGCAACCAAGATCATCTCTGTAGTGAATTTGACGCTCCGTGGTCGCATGTCCTTTATAGGGTTTGCTTTTCGATAGTATGCCTGAGCCGTGAGAAAACGACCAAAATGAGAGAGTTTGCGTTTTTGTCCCTCGTTTCCCCTTATGTCCTCCCCTACGCCTCTGTACACATCCAGAGAATGTGCAAATCGGACATCAAGGGGAGTTCGCAGCCACCTTTGCCTGCGTCGCATTCTCTTCCTCCCCCTCCTGCTGAGACGCCTCATAGTGTCCATGGAGCGACTGATCAAACGCCATCCACTCCCCTACAAGAGGAAAAAGACCTCAGCACACGCGTCGACACAGACAAGGTACAGCAACAGGTTGGCCTTTTCCCCGCGCTATCGTCCTCCCTTCTGTGTTTTCTTTTCACCTGCGCGAGCCCCAGACCATGCCCTCCCTTACTTCATCTCGGGATCCTCGACAGGCAAAGGTTCCGTCTTACGCAGGTGCCTTTCCTTCGGACCCCAATGAGATTGTACGCCTCCGAAGCTTGTACCCTCCCTACAGCGATACGGAGCTGGATGAGGCCAAGAAGGGGCAGCTGATTCCGGGAGAGGTTTTGTACTGCGAGGTGAGGGCAGGGAGCGCTTTTTTTTTTAATGAAGAATCACACGTATGCCTCGTGTGGACACGCGTGCGTGTGGATATGTAGGATGTATGTTTAGTACATGATGTGGGGCGCGGGTGGGGAATGTCGGTGCGACGGATGCTCTCTCTCCTTCCCTTCCCTGCTCACCGTCCTCCTTCTCCCTCCTTTTCTTCATGCCTCGCTTCCGCCGTTTCCTCCTTCTATCTCCCTCTTTTTCATTTCCCCATCCGCTTTCTCTCCCTTCTTTGTAGGGGGCTATGAAACCCTGTTGGCGAGGTGTTCTGCATGGATGGTCGCTGTTTCTCGTGCCCGTGATCGCCTTGGCGTTACTGGCCAAAGCGGATACGCCGACGGTAAGGAAAGGAAGAAAGGGGACGAAGGAGAGAGGAGAGAGCAAGGAGAGGACTTTTGGGGGGGCGGGTTATGGCTTTTCTATTTCTCTCCCTTGCCATGGGCTTAAAAACCATGCCTCGCTGGATTTTCCGCTCTCCTCACTGGCCCCTCCGTCCTCCACATAGGAGCATCTGGCCGCCTCCCTCTTCGCCCTCTGCTGCCTCTGCCTGTTTTTGTCGTCGTGGGCGTATCACCGGGTGCATTGGACCCCGCGGTGGGAGGTGTGGATGCAGAAACTCGACCATTGCATGATCTTTATCATGGTTTCAGGTAGGGCTTCGTTCTGCCTGCGTTTCACACCTGGTGGGATGCGCCCTGTACCGCGCGCTCTCATGGCCCTTCATTTTCCTTTCCTCCCTCCCTCTCTTCCACTCTCCCTCCCTCCCTCCCTCCCTCCCTAGGCAATGTTGCCCCTCTTTCCCTCCTTGCCTTGCAACAAACACGTCTCTACGTGTTGGCAGGAAGCGCCCTGGTTGCGACCTGGGGAATGATACAGGTGCGTCGCGGAGGACGGTGGCATGGGAGGTGAAAAGGGTGGGGAGGCACTAAGCCGACGGTCTCGGGCATGGGCAGGGAGGGCGGGAGAGGAGAAGTCCTTGAAGACATGGGAGGTAGAATAGGAGAGGGTGAGACGCGAGGATGTTTTAAAGTGGGTTGGTCGAGGATGATATGATCCCAAAATGACCTTGGCCCCCCTCCTTTCTCCCTATCTTCTCAGATCTTTCGTCTTCAAAAAAAACTGATCTACTTTGTCTTGACCGCAAGTGTCATGGGCTTCGGTTTGCACGAACTTGGTAGGGAGGGAGGAAGGGAAGGAGGGAGGGAGGGAAAGAGGGAGGGAGAGAGGGAGGCGAAGACAGACGTCTTCTGTTCCGATGGGCATTCCCTGTTTTGAACTCGGCGTATCCCTGTTGCACTCTACCCCTTCAAGATGTTGCTTCTGAGCTAGTCATGGCATTTCTCTGCATAGCAATCTGAATCTTCTGGAAGGAATCCTGCGTTTTCCATCCACGGGAGGACAGACATCTTTTCCGATTGTTTTCTTAATAGCAGGATGGTCGATGTTCACTCACTCTTTTTCTTCTTACACCTCACACACCAGCCATATTTCTCATGTTTTGTGACGTTTATTCCTCATACCTAAAATGCTTTCATGGGACAGTGCCCTACCTACCACGGGCGATGAAACAAACCTTGAATTGAACCCTTTCTTCGGTCCCTTTCCCCTTCTTTTCCTCTCCTCTCCTACCTCTCCCACATCTCTCAAGTCGGGCACTTGACCACGCTGGAGCTCAGCCTGACCATCGCGTCCTGGTCTCAGTATTTTCTAGGCATGCTGGTGTACGCGCGTGGTACGTACCGGATCACCCGACACCCACCCGAAAAATCCTAAAAAAATTTGGGGGGGTGATTTTCTTTCGCTTTTCCGTCGGGCTGGTTTTTAGCGGGTTTTATTTTCCTTCCCTCCTTTCACTCTGCACTCCCCTGTCCTTTGTTTTCCTTTCCCTCCATGGTAAATTCTAGCTCTGACCAGGGTACCAAACTTGATACATTACACACACACACATATATATATATATGTATGGATGTATGTGTCTTTATATATATAAACCCACATGCATGTGCGTACGTACATACACGCTTACCTCGCATCTACCCCGCTTCACCCCGTATTGCCCCTCTCCTTTCTTCTTATTTTTCCTCCCTCAGGCTGGCCTCGCCTGTGGCCTCGGCATTTCTCCTCCCATGAACTCATGCACGCCCTTACCATCTCTGCCGCCGGCACGGCCGCAGTCGTGACGTACTCCCTCCTCGACCGTTTCGACGTGGGCCGTTGCCTCTGGGCTGCCTAGAGTGGGAATACACAAAGTGAACGCGACTCACGTATCACGGTCTTTATGATCGTTAGCACTCCGATAGCCATAGAAGTTGCTCTCCAACATGTGAAATTTTGAAAAAATCGTATTCTGCTGGTCGTCTGGTAGCGTTTATCACGGCCCAGGTGAAACAAGCCTGAATGCGTGAATATATCCAGGCATAGCATGTCGAGTGAAGGCCGATATATACATATATATATATATATATATATATACACATACATATATTTATATGCATAGTACGTCGGATAAGGTGGCCAAGACTTGTGAACATGAGTGAGCATGCCACGTGTGATGTTACGAGTCTTTCGACGTATGTTTTGATATAACTGGGGTCAACAGTTGGTTGAGGTGCGATATAGTTAGACATAAAGACTAAAAAATGTAAAGGACTTATCAGCGTCATCTACCTTTTTGAACGATAAATTTGGCTTTTTTTTCGCATATTCATGTGGGCTACTTTTCTGGCGTGCATATAATGAGCAGCCAGTACACCATTTACCTTGCAAAATGACCAGCGGGTAGGTCGGTGGGATCAAGCCTCGCGGAAGGGCATGCCGTCACTCCATCAGCTTTGCGTCTCTCTACATCGGCTTGACGCATATCTGATCTACAACGTCGTGCTGCGTGCGCTTGGTTCCGAGGCCGTGATTCTTGATCCTTTCAACAAGGACTACGCTTGTGAAAGAGGGTAAGGGGTGATGGGAAAATACTGCCCTTTGTATACTCCTGACATGAGTCCCCATTGTTTGCTCTATCGTCGCCCAAACTCTATGTTGACTATCCCAGTCCTCTCGTAGAAGCATCCACTGTTTCTGATATAGAGGAACATAAAGCCGAAAAACCAAGCATAGGGAGGCCGCTTAATCAGGAAGTAAGCGTGCGATGAACTCTAGAAATTTATCTGCTGCAGACGGGTTTGACACAAGGAAAAAAAACATTACTCAGTTGTCTGTCTGACAAGACATGAAAAGAAGAAGTAAGGAAAATAAGTAAGAAAAAAAAAAAGCTTTTTTTTCCCACTCGACCGGGCAGGCAACGGCCATCATTATCCAGCGATTACCTCAGTGCCTGAGGAATTTAAGCACGTATATGCGTCCCAGCCAACCATATTTTCGCTCAAAAATTGGCTGCTACACAGGATCACGCCGCCAAGCTGCCACACATGCAAAGGGAATGCTTAAGCGGGCAAAGGGGGAAAAAAAATGTTCTGCAAAGGGGGAGAGGAGGTTGTAGGTCTAGTCGGACGACAATACTGGCGCAGTTCTTGTTTATCGTCTGTATACTTACCGCTACGGTGCGTAGGGGTGGAGATTCATGTTTCATAGCTTTTTCGCGGTGAATTCTATACTTTTTTCTCCTGCGTACGCGTGCCAGCCCGAAAATGGGTCTTGTCCTTGCTCTCTCGACCTCTACCCCACCGACGTCGTGACTCTGAAAGACGTCGTAAATTGGTTTGACCTGACCAACTCCACTCACAAGACCATCCTACTCGGTTCCTTTGCTCATCCTTATTTCTTTCATGTGACTTTTGTCAGGCAAGCGGGTATGCCTTCTCCACTTTCCTGCCTCTTTCCCACTCTACCTCCGAAAACCATGCTTCCACGACTCCCCGCATGCTGCTTTCCGGCTTCTTCCCCGCGGGAACCACCGGCAGTAGGAAGGATTCTACTCAGATTAAAAAGCTGAAAAAGACTGTAAGGGCAAGGAGTGAAGGCGAGAGGAAATAGGACAAGAGGGGTGTGGCCACGGAGGGCATTTTCCCGAGGGCACTGGTATTGTTCGTTAAATTCGCAAAAATCGAGCCAAGTATGGCCCATGAATCAGCATCTTTTCCTACTATATAGTTGAAAATCTCTTCGAAACACTCAAACGAGGTCTTTCATTTGATAGCTTTTTGAAACGATGGAAGGGTCCGATCGAGGACGGGTCAACCTGGGAGGAGGGAGGGAGCGGACGATCCAGGCGATACAAGCGCTGGCAGCAGGTAAGAGGAAAGAGCAGAAGGGGAAAACAAACAGAAACGGCCAGTTCCGCAGACAGTGCCTTGGCAGGTATCGAGGACAGATGTATGTACGGAGGTTCCCTTGTGCTGCTTCTCGTCACGCCCCACGTCCGGTGTGCCGCCCGGCTTCCTACTCGCCAGAACCCACAAAGACCCTGTCAACCCTCCAGTCTTTCAAGGCAAGTAGAGATATTGCTACTCATGTCCTTCTCCCTCCCCCCCTCCCTCCCTCCCTCCCTCTCTCCCTAGTGAACCCGACCCCGAACAGTGCCACGAGTCCGCTGGCGTCAGGGACGTGGGATCTAGTGTGGACTACTGAGGAGGTGGGAGGAATGGAGAAAGGGAAGAGGGAGGGAGGAGGGGGGGAGGGGATAGCGTGTGGAAGGGAGGGAAGGGAGTGACCAGAGAAGTAACGAAGACTCATCTTCTACTCTCCATCTCTTCTTCGGGAGCTAGACTTGCCGGACACCAACCATATCCCTCCCTCCCTCCCTTCTACCTTCCCTTCCTGGCTTCCTCCCTATGTCCATTCACCGTGGCACAGGAGATCCACCTGTTCAGGAAACAGGGTTTGTTGGGCTGTACCTGCCAGGCCGTGCTGCAAACTACCGAGCAGTCCACCCAACGCTTGGAGAACATCATTGAATTTTCTCAAAACTCGGCGCTCCGGATTATTTCCAAGCTCTCGCCAGAGGTGAGAAGTCTCGGGAGCGTGCAAACGGGACGGAGGTGGTGCCACGTGCATTACCTCACCGTGTTTAGAGTCTTGGTCCCTCCTCCTTGCCCTGTCCCCCTCCTCCAATCTCTTCCACAGAAGAGCCCGCTCTCTTTTTGATTTTCCTCCGGGGTTTTTCCATTTCTCCTTCCCTCCGTTGCTCTCTCCCCCTCCCCCCCTCCAGCCCTCCGGCCCCCGGGTGTATTTCACCTGGGAAGACGCCCGCGTGATTTATAAAGGCTTCGTCCTCCCTTTCCCTTCCTTCTTCTTCGTCAAGAATGCCTAGTGAGTTGAACGGAAGTGATGAGACGGATTCACGCGGGTCGGACGTGTCCGTGTGAAGAGGGGCAAGGGGGGAAGAAGACATACCTAACTATATATAGATTACGAGCCCTCGCCTCGAATCAGCCATCTACGCCCTTCTAACCCGCCCTGCTCCCTTTTCCTGTCTTCTTTTGCCGTTTCTTCGTCCGTTCTCTCAGCTATGACAACATCTACTTGGACTCGGAGATCCGATGTGTGCGAGATATCCGTGGGAACTACCTGGTGGTTCGACGCGTCTAGACGTGGTCGGAAGGAGGGAAGGAGGGAAGGGAGGAAGGGAAAAAGGGAACAAAAGAGGGGCGCCTTGGGAAGAGGCTTCATTTGACAAGGGAGAAAGGACTCGTTGGGAGGAAGCCGGGTGGGTGAGGCATACGAGAGATGGAAGGTTCTAGATCGTTGGGTAAGAGGGTCTCTACCCCGAAATTTGAAATTACTCACAACCGGAAAATGACGCTTATGCCTCGGTGGTGGATGACAGTTGATTTTCTTTTTGCGGGCGTTCCAATTTGTGCAAGTTAGCCGGCCTTCAATTCTACCCTCCCTCCCATCCTCCCTCACCCTCCCTACCTTGCCTCCACCTCCCTCCCACCATGATTCTATCGCCACTGCCACCCTTTGTTTGCAAAATACAGTACGCCAATGCACACTCTGATATCCTCGACTACACCCTACTGCCCTAAATGTCCACCCGTTCATTAGTTTTCCTTCTATGCCGGCTTTCTTTTTCTTCCCCTATCGATTCAGCCCATCACCTCGCACTGTCCTCCGAGTCCACACGTATTGGCAACCGCATTGCTTCTTTCCTTGCTCCTACTACACTGTCCATCAACAACCTCATTCTTCTTTATGCGCGACATAATCGCCTTCTTGCTCTTGTCCTCTCCCACTTTTTCCTCCCTTTCTCCCTCCCCCCACGCATCAGGGGCGGGTCCGATAGCGTCGTTCCTGTGTCTCCCCCCTTCGCACCAGACTTTTCAATTTTTTTCCCTCCTAATCCGGCATGTATACATAGGACGCATCCCCCTCCCCCCAAAAAATCTGCCATCCCTGCCTCGCTCTCTCTTTTCCCCCTTTTCGCTCGTGCTGTCTTCCCCCTTCCAGGGGATCAGCTTCCCAATGTATACAGATTTGACAAAATTTTACCCAAGAGTACCCAAGTCTTGCAGAAAGCACGACCGACCAATACGCTGTCGCTCGCGCAACGGGTCAAATCCTGCCGAGCCCCCCTTTTCCATTTCCCGCACAGGGATACGGGAAGAAGGGCACGGAGGGAGGGAGGGAGGGAGGGAGGGAGGGAGGGTGGAAGGTCGTTAGGTACAAACGAACCTTGCCACGCTT